TGTTAGGCTTTTAACGAGTAAAGTTACGTCTAGAGTAACTAAGTTATCAAGAAAACAATCTACCCTAACAAAAGTCTATTTTGTTTATTTATGTAACAAAAAGTGGTATTATTTCATATACACGTTACTTAACCGATGTCAGGATATTATTTCTTCTTTCAAGTGGAGTTCGGCGCAACTGCAAAAACGAATACATAGTCTAGTTCTATTGCTAAAATGAGAGTCGGGCATGGTGGATCGATCGGTCCGAAAAGGGCATGTACATGTGAAACGATCAAGGGTCAAAGTTAAAATACCACTGCGCAATCGTGACAAAAAAACACGGACGACGGGCAACGGACGACGCACGACGGGCGACCGCAGATATGGAATTCCATATGAGTGCGACTCGGAATTACTTCTCCATCGACAATGTTGATCGACACTGGATCATGTAATTAAGTTGAACCGTCCCAATTAGAATCGAAGCAAGGTCCTGATGAATTTCAGGCAGAATGATACATGTATCTAAGTTACTGCTTTTCCTCTGTTCTTGTGCTGTAAAACCCCCCGGTTATTACAGCCGCAAGGTCAACTTGAGAACTTCTGGGGGAACGAGAGCCATATTATGAAATCATTAAATCGCTAGATTTATTTGCCGCCTCATCAACGCTTTTTTGTTTACTCGGAGCATTCTTGCGGTGGAACTATTACATGTACGTAGGCTACATGAATGTTCATGGTCAGCCAGTCTCTGCATTGCAGTCCTACCCTCGTTAGCTGGAAGAAATGCACTGAGTCAGTGACTGATGAGGATGCAACTCGTACCACTAAGTATTGATTGCACACTTGATTGTATTCATTGCAATGCGTCGTTTGTAGTTTGTGGGCGAATCCAGCAGAAAGGAGTGTGTTGAGTTTTGTATGGAGTAAGTTTCGCGGATCAGTGGTTCCACAGCTTACAGTGGCAGAGGCCAATGCAAATGACTAGTGATGGATTCGCCATGATCACCGGATCGGTTATGATTCAAAGAAGCAGATAGTCAAATGGTCAACTTAATTGACGACATCAGATTTCAGGGTTATTTACGCCATTCTCTCTAACTTTCAGTTTCATCTTACTAAGTAATGCATAAACAAATAATTCTGTCCAGAACATCTGTCGCCGTTTTACTAACACCTACACAATTAGTGTAGTTTGGGGGTTAAATGTCAACATCATCTCATAATGATATCATATCCTTTACCATTCATGCTAAGCGAGGAGAAATTAATAATATGTGAATCTAGGGTAATTTCAGTGGTCTGAGATATGTGTGAGTTATCAGGGTTTTATTAAAAGGCCTCGTGCATTCATTTACATGTATGGAGTACTGGTACAGCATATGTACATGTATCTTAGTCGTATCATCGAGTTGGTCAGTATATGGCATGCTATGTTCATCATGGAACCTAAAATCTGATGTACTAATCGGGTCAGATATTCTTGATCTGTTTTATGTTTTTATGGCCTCATAAATGTTTGCAGTTGATAAATTGAGTCCCATTTCGTTGTATTGGTACATGTTACTGGAGCCAGATTGATAGCTAATCGTAGCAATAGGCGTCCAGTGTAGCTACGGCAACAAACACCAAGCGACGAACTGCTGTGTAGTCGGCGCCCTTTGGATTGGTCGTGGGATGGGCGTGGGTCGGGATGACACGGTGATAAGGAACAGCTTTCGTGGGTAGAACACAATGGCGTTAACGTAGTCGATGGGTTGACTGCATGGGCACGGAGGACAAAGGAGCAGAATCTGCATGCGGAGTCCTGTTGCCGTGCACAAAAACCTAGTTAGGCCTATATAGTTCAACTTTCGTTCCAATTTTCTTTCATGATGGCAGGATCAGAATTGACCGTGCTCATGGTGCTTGGTACCGCATATGTTCAGTTACGTCTACCTATTGGTATTTGAATAGTTCTTCGTAACTGATTGGATATCGTCCATTATCTGTGGACAGTTATAGCTGGAGATGCGTCTGTTTACTTAGTTGAGTCACGAACAAGATCAGCTACGCGTCTAAACCATACAGGTCCAGAATGCGCAACACAGCTGGGAGAAACTGTAACTTCTAGTATCATCTGGATGCTTGCTACTTGTCGACATTGTGGTTGTTTTCTACATCACCATGGCGACGGACTACGCACAATGTGAGTAGCTACAAACCCTAATCCTCTGCACCACTGCAGAGGGAAATGAAACCGAACTAGGATTTCCTTGTCACTTTCGAACGGATGTAGTATTCACACCAATCTAAATTGGATGTAATATTTACGCCATCCAACTTGTTTGTGAAAACTTGGTTACTAACAAACAACACCATGCGTTCCGTTCAACCTTGGTGGAAGGACACCAACCAATCAAGTGAATTATAGTGGTAAATTTTGGACATCCCCTTCGAGCCTTGCTCTATGCTCCAAGTCAGGAGATTACCCACGTTGAAAAGTGACAGCAGGTTTTAATTGGATTGTGATTAAGAGTCTGCAACGCCAGTGGAATTTTTAAAACTCGATATGGAGGCAGGCACAAGGAATCACATCACAGACGCCAGAACGGTCTCGATGGCCCGTCTGCATCGCCACTCTGCCACCGGCCGTCACCGGCGGCTTGCAGCCGCCGAGAGAGGCTTTATGTCGGTCAGTGCCGTGGAGTTCAATCGGTATCGCCGACGGGATCGAATAAGTTTTCCACAAGAGGAAGCTGATCTTCAAAAGAAGGCAAGTTTAGAATCTAGAATTGTGAAGCAAAAAATAAGGCAAGAATTCCATATCCGATTGTCACCATTTTTGTGTCATAAACACAAGCATGTTAATCAGCTTCTGCCAACTGTGTGGAGATTTTAGAGAGGACAGACGGTTAAGATACAAAAAAAAAATTGAAAATTGTGATGAGAATTCTTTCAAAATGCAAATAGTTTTGGCTAGAGACAATTCCAAGTTACTTAGGCGCGTTTCTTCTAATCTAATCTTGATGAAAGCAAAAGTAAATTTTCATGGAAAACAATTGGTATAAGAATCGAGTAGAATTTGGTAAACTGCAATACAACCGCCGGAAAATGTTTTTTTCCTCAGTCATTAATAGAATTTGCACACTGCCCATTTCTGACTCGGCTTTAAACTTGTCGTATGTGATTGCCATGCTTATGCGTAGTTCCCAGCTTAAGTTGGCAAACGTCTCTCAGACGCAGACAATTATCTATTCTAATCTCAGGTGGAAGCGGTGACTCCGTCAAGCGTGTTACTGGTACGTGCACATGGTAGTTACCTTCAATTTGGAATAAGTTGTTGCTTCCTATTCAATCAGGAATTTCAAAGAATTCCAAGAACGTATACGTATCAACAAGCATAGTTGACGATGTTGTTGTGAGCTTCTCCAATGTTGTTTATATCCAGCCTACCGAATATAAACGGACCAGAGTTCGAATTTGTAAACATAAATCTTAGGAAGCCCATTTTGAAGTACATGTACAGTTAGTACAGTGAAGTAAATACCGAAACTTACCCGTAGAAAAGGTTTAATTTTACCTGAAATGAAGGTGAAAAACCACGGGCGAAAATCCCGGGGGATGGGGTAACCCCCCCCCCCTTGAGGTGGGGGGCTGTTGAATCACCCCCACACACTTTTTTGTGGTGACCAAAAATTTAGGCAGATTGTGACGAATTTTTTAGACTTCCAACAAATAAAATGCATTCGATATCACTTTAAAAAAGGGGAAAAATTAAAAAGCCATAGATACATGTATGCCATTTTGAATACATGATTACAGATGTACTTCAATATCATTAACATTGACCTCTATACAGAGTCATATGGTGTCATCCCCCCCCCGCTTTTCAGATTTTTATGGTCGGGCAAGTCATCCCCCACCTTTTCCCATCCTTCCGCACTTTTCGGCAATATTTACGCCACCTAGTGAAAACTGTTACTACGGTACCTAACCCTAAAAGAGCCGGGGCGGAATCTGCCCCGACATTTTTTTTTTCGATATCGCTGCAGTGCATTTTTTTTTTGGTTAGAAGTTGAGCTCTTCAGAGTTTTTAGAGTTATTTTGACTCTTGTAAAATTGAACTTCACGTTCTCGCGCAGCGTGCATTTTCCCCAGACGGGTTAGTCAAACGTATACTTTTTCTACTGCGATGCTTATAGTGTACGCGTGCTGGCATGCATGTAGCCAGGAACTTCAAATGGTCATAACAAAACCATGTCTGGCTGAGTTCAAGCTTCACTTTTGTAATGATAAGGAGTGTCTGTACATGCATATCAAGTTTAAAAAAACGTGGCATGGGCCAGCACATCCGAGTTCTTTGGGGGTGGTGTCCGCCCCCTCCGCCTATGGGAAGGGTTAAAAAAAATGGTTGTGTCAGCGCAATTTTTTTAGTTAAAATAATTGCAGGTCCATCGTAACCAGAACAAGATGGTTGATATATTTTGTTTGGGCGTCAAAATTATTTAGACACTAATTTGACCCCCAAACTGGATAGTCACTGTACCCTTACTTCAGTTATTCAATGACGTGGCTTTTTTCTGATGTATTTTTCCTCATTACAGAGGCGATGCTTTTTGCATGGTAACTAGTTGATTTTTTTCTGACTCTATACCGGGCACGAAATGGGACAGAGGGGTACCCCCCCCAACAAGTCCAATCCCTCTACACACACTGGGTTATTGTTCCCTAATACACCCCCCTAGAAGTCTGAAAAGAATTCCTGAGATACCAGTATAACAATAGCCAACACAAAGGCGGGGGTGCTTACTGGGGGTTGCTCTGTGTTTCATATGTCTGACTCCACACGCAGTGTCATACACGCGACTTGTTACACAATTAGCCTCAGTTGATAATCGTCGGTGGTCTGTTCGCCAGAACTGTGTGGCTGAATGCGTTGTGCCTGTTTGTCGAAGCGACGTTTTTAGAGCATTATTCTACTGCATTGTGTATATGCATATCGACGTCTGTTGACGCTTGCTTCCCGGGGGCGAAACAATTTGACGCTTGGAGAGTATTCAAACTCTGCATGAGCAAATCCTCTCAAAGGAGAGAGGCCAGGATTTGCTATTGTGGCAGCGAAGTGTTTCCTCGGGTATGCTCTTCAACAGTGGGGGATTGTCATACTTTCTGAACTCTGTAACCAAGTTTGCGGTCGTCTTAAACAGAAACTTTCGGATTACCCAAAGAGCCTCTCCTTTGGCTGAAGAGGCTGAAAACAGCTTATGATGTGGTTTGGGTGTCACAGTAGACAAGCATACACAGACGTATAAAGTTGACAAGCCAAACTTCCGTTGCCCTGGGTCATGACAAAAGCTCCTATACATGCATAAGATGTCTGATCCGCTGGGGGTACAGGTTGGGTACTTTCGAAGTTCTATCTGTCCTGAATAAGGCCACCGTTTAATCTTCTTGCGCTCAATTGGTGACGTATAGCTTATCCCCCTCAATCTTTTAACATTTTTTGTTGTATTTTGGTATAGGGAAAAATTCTCACCACTTCTTTCAAAGTTTCATTTTCTAGTTACCAGTGTAGCTTTTTTGCCTGCCCTTTTTGTGTATTTTCACTGATTCCAGCACCTATTTTGTAATGTAGAGTGTCAATTGAGATTCCAGAGAACGAAGCGCGTACTTGTATTCCCTAAGTTTCTCCTTCAGCATTTAGAAATATATACTTAAAGCTTCCTTATTGTTATCATAATGATAATAGTATATTTTTTGCACAGTTACAATGGTCTGGGAGGGTAAAATCAAAATTAATTCCAGACAGTGGAATCGTTATCCACCTCGACAAGGAACCATGGCAGCAGTGCTTGTCTGTTGCTAGGATCCATGTGTACGCTCTTGTCATGCACAAAGAATACGCTTAGAGAGTGCGTTCAGATTGCATGTAATGTTCAATCTCTTACACGTTAATGTGCCCTTTGGCTTCCTCGTTTTACGCCCGACTTCTCGTTCACCTGAAGTATCTCCCATCATTGGAATACTAACCAAACCATCATTTAATATTAACTAGGCTCGTATTGACTATTGATCTAGGATTTCAGGATTATGGCACTTCTAAAAAGGTAGGGACACAGCCCATCAGGCGTTGTATGTTAGCCGCAAATCGATCGCTTTTCGACTTAATAACAGGGCTGATTCTTCTTTTTCGTTCAACGGTAGGTTATTACTAGTCGTAATAAAATATTCACAACAAAGGTTCCATGCTTTTCGCCTCAGCCGATAAATCTGAGGCTGAGTGATTCAGTCACTCGTCCGTGGTGAGAGGGCTAAATGTATTTTTGTTACCTAGCAAGTATGAAACTTGGAAGAGACGAAATTAATGGAAATTATGTTTAGATTACAACACTTGGTAATATAAATCTAAGAAGACTTCACTGAACTCATTTCAATAATTATACTGTATCTGTATGCCCTCGTGGCCTTAGTGTCCGGGGAGTGAATACATGTACTGAAGATCATGTAATAAGAGCAATTACATGTACTATGATATATAGCTCTTTGAAAATATCCATAATACGGTTGTTGACCCAGCAAAAAAATGACTTTGTTACGACGTTCCTGAAGGATCAAACTTTGGTTTTTCGACGTCATAGCACGTGTTCATTAGGGTTTTTTTTTTTAGATATCCAGGCTCGTTGCAACAACATTGTTCCACAACGTTACTTAGATGTTGCCTCCACCAAGAGTATCACCTAGATTCCGGCAACGTGTTTGGCCGCGTGTTCTTAGTAAAATTATCATGATCTTGGACAAGCTAATGCAACTTAGCCGGTACATCCGTTAATGTTCACGACCTCGCGTAATGTTGGCCACATTACTAGAATCTACGAAAGCCAAATCATTCCAAAGACAAAAAATAAGTGGGAAACTAATTCGTTTTTGTGAATTACAAATCCGTTATTACGAATTACATGTAGTAATTCCTAGTAACGAATTCGTCATTACGAATTAGTTGAGTGGCACGATTGGGCTTTCGTAAGAAACACTACTAAAAAGTTGGGCTTGTAAAAATGTATCGTGACCACATCGGAGGAAAGGTCGAGCGGGGGGCGGATTCTACTCCGGCTCTGAGGGCTCTGATCGTTGACACATCTGCAATTGCATACTTACAGCGGACATCCCCTAAAGACTAACAATGAAACACGCAGTAAACCTGTAAATCTTATTTGTTTTCCTCGTCGCTTTTACTTTTATCGTTTGTTTGATGTGCCTCATAAATCAAGGTTCGCTGATTTGAATGACTGTATGGTAATTTAATTGCGTTATCTCGACGAACAAATCAGTTCGTTTACGCATTGAACACAATATGATCGACGGAAGTAGTAGCACCACCCGCAAAGCTCCTGTGATCTCCAAGAACTAACCCTTATTGTTAGTTGTTTTTGCCTAGCTACCTGTCAAAACAAACAGATTCCCCTCATAATAGGAAACCTTGTATGTGCATGATAAATACGCAGGGTGGGTGAACGGGTTTGACAGTTCCCTTATTAGAAAGGAAATTTCTGTTGGTTTATGCAATACCTGTGCATGCACCGAATCGCATTCAGAAACAACGCTGTCTTACAAAATCATCTGACTTTGTAGTATACTGAACTGGCTGACGTTTTGCGTAAAATTTCATTCAAGGAGCCTTGATTTGCCCCACGGCATCCAAAATGAACATTCAATTCCATCCAATTGTTATCGTCACGGTTAGCGTGCCTGCTGTGTCATTCCTGAGAGTGAAAT